CGCTGCCCCTGCATTCAGGATTCAGTGTACAGTGTGTAGAGAAATGGAGAACTCATGCAGCCTTGTGGTTCACCTGTGCTACAGTATTTGACCCTGGAAAGTGAGCTATTTACCTTCACCTGCTGGGACCTGTTGGTTAACAAAGAATAAAACTATATTTATGATAAAATGATTTACATGCATGTCATTCAACATCTGGACCAGCAGTTAAGGTTGGATAGTGGTAAAAGCTGAAGTGACTACAAATAAGACCTGAGCGTAAGCCTTGGGGTTCTCTAGATGCTTACTGATTAGATGTGTCACACTTGCAACAGCATTCTCTGTACTCTGCCACTGTCTGTACGGGGTCCAAACGTAAAAACCACATCCATCTTAAGCATATTCACAATGATGTTTTCAAAACATTTCACCACAGATGTAAGAGCTACTGGTCTAAAGTCATGATAAACAGCTGGACATGAAGTTTTTTCCCTCCAGATAGCAGGGACAGTGTGACTGTCTAGGGACTGTTGAAAAATAAGACACCTGCTAGTGTGATGAGAATCTTGGGTTATTGCATTAAAGAATAATTTGAATGTTGATGTTGTTACGTCATATGCCATGAGTCTACATTTTGTGTGGCTGGGAAGCATAGTTTAGATTAGGACATACAGTACTAAAGTCTGACCTTGCGAGCTTTGGCCTCAGCAAATCTTGCCATCACTGATTCCATATACAGTGATTTCCTGACTTAGTGCTCGATGGAGAGAACAGCAAGTGCAGACAGCCTGTCCTCTGACATAGTTGATCCGATTTTAATTAGTTTCAGTGATGAGAAACTTCTCTCACCTGAAGCAACTGTCGCAGGGAGTGTGAGTAGAAGTCTAAGAGCTAAACTCAAATTTGGATACATGTGAAGGATATTCTCCTTATATATATGTACAGTATAATCAAGCATCTCAGATGGTGATGAGATATGTGTGGGGAGGATTTAACTGCACACTCAGAAAAGGTTTGTCACCTTTGGCAGTGTTGCCAAGAACTGTTTACCACCCTCCTGCTTCTTCCGTTTTTCACAACTACTTGGGTAGCTTCGCTTCATCTTACAGCCATTTCACACCACCTCTCTTATTCATCAGTCTCTGTTTACACCCCGAATCACTTTTGTAGATGCGCTCATGGAATAGTCCATTGTAATGGGGACTAAGGGTAGAGAGGGGTGCTGAGACACTAGCTACTCATGAATTATAGGCATTCTGATGACTTTTTAGCATATGGATATTTAGAACGACGTGATTAATTAATGAAGAACATTTGAACATTGAACATTTTTTTATTTATGTTTTATGGGGCCCCTGGTAGTTTGGGGCCCAAGGCAATTGCCAACCTTTGCCTAATGGTTAAGTCCGCCTCTGGATAGGCTACTATTGTAGTTGCAAACATCTTCAATTATTTTAGCGGATAAACAAAACATTTCCTTAAAGTTTTTATAATTTTTTATTTTTTTTTAAGGCTGAAAGAGAGACCATCATCAATACTCTGAAAACAGAGTAGTAAAATACCGTTCCTATCACAAGATTGAGAAATCTGATGGTTGACAGACCTGCAATTCCAAGATATGGCTATCAACCTATGGCAGTTGCTGTTCAGCAAGGGGTGCAGAAAATAAGTCATTTAACTTAATTAAATGAATATTAATTTGAAATTATGGCCAAACCTTTGAGAATGAGAACTGAGTTCAATAATTGGGAATTAGCCTTTGAAGTACAAAGCAACAGCAGCCTTGGTCTGGCTGCTTGGTAATTCTTTTGTTTGTTTATACAAAGCAATGTTAGCTAAAACACAAAGATATTGTTCTACTGTGTGTGTGTGTGTGTGTGTGTGTGTGTGTGTGTGTGTGTGTTCTCCGCAAAGGAAGGAGCAAGTATCCCTTCCACTCCCCAAGACCCTGGGTTCGGGTTGTGTTCAGAGTGCAGGAAGGCGAAACATAGATCTATCAGCACAGTCACACAAACAATGAATGAATGCACCATGCATGTGGCGTCTTTAAATTGTGACTTGAAAAGCCAACATCCAGACAGCAGTGGGGCTTCATACCACAGACCCTGTTGATCAGAACTGTTTTACTTACAATGATAGTTTATTGAGCCCTGTATCCACTCTCAATTCGCTGCTCAGGATAATTGCAGCTCTAATGTGTAAGATTTTGATTAAAAGCGGGGCCAGCAGCACCCATTTACTTGCCCCATCTGTCACCTGCTGCTGCAGCCTGTACCAATGCACCCTAGAACATGTCATTGTCACAGTGAGCACTGCTGCTTCCCCCTTTCTCCCTCAATCCAACATCATGCAACTCTTCTTACTCCACAGTACAATTTAAGAAAAATCTACACAGCGGCAAAACAATTCACTTTACAAAAACTTAAAAAAAAACTTTTTAAATTTAATTTTTGCAAAGCATTTGGTTGTTGAGATGATTCCAGTTTGGTATTCTACAGTCATTATAAAGTACACTGTTCTTTTAAATCCTCCCGTCTTCTTTCATCTCAGGACATGGTGATGAATGGAAGGAAAGGAAAACATAAGGCTCTATTTGAACAATCTAACATGGTTCAAAAGTGTTGTACGTAGTCTCATAAATAGTCATGGTTGTGTTTTGGATGTGACATACCTTTTTTAATCTGGCAGTGGATTTGCCAGATCGTAAAAGAGAACTCTTTCAAAACAACATTGGGCAACAAATAGCATTTCTGTGCTCTGTTTCTGACTAAAGGTCTGTACTTACAAAGAGATCAATCCCCTTATCTTACTCAGTCAAATGAGAGGTTTTTCAGCATACTTGTAAAGGTGTATAGTGGTACCTTCCAGTTCATTCCACTCAGCACACTCCCCCCCCCACTGTCCTAGAAAGGCTCTGGCAGCCAGGTTGGGCTGGCTGATTTCTATACCCTTAGTTTGCTAATTTTATCCAGGCTCTGACCCACTTGGTCCCTACAACTCCCCTCACATTACTACTATGCACTGTACACTTCATACTGTATGCATGTCACTCGTACTGGAATGGGGGCAGTAGGGTTCTCTGTTTGGATTGTCCAGGGTAGCTGAACTGAGCCTCAGCCACCCCTTATAATTGCAGCTAAGATTTTATCTCATGATTAGGCCTTTCTGGATAATTGCTATTTCAACTTACCATATATAAACATTTAGTCAATCATTTGGCTGACCTCGATAAATGGATCATTGTATTTATATGCTTGTTTGTTTATATAAGAATGTCACCATCACCAACAGAGAGTTGTGAGTTGTGCTGTTTCTCTCCTCTCTTCTGTATCTGGAAGCGAGGCAGAGTTTACAATTGCCTCGGGCCGTCCCCGCCCACACTGACACACACAAGGAGAAATAGGAAGGAAAGCACAGATGAGATGAATATTATAGCTGTCAGGCTGTCAGAAGTTATTGGACCCTTACAATATTTGGAGGGATTAGTTTCTGTTTGTTTTATTTGTTCAAGAGGTTTGTGCGTGTAAAAATGTGTGCAAACGTGACGTGCTAATTGTCACAGCTTTACGCACAGATGGCTGTAGTTATTGTGGTGAGGAGGAGACGGCGTGGAAGAAGACGGAGAGAACGGGTTCTTTCTGCTCATGTTAACAGGTTTGGATTGACAGAAGCAAAAAGAATCCCTCTTGTCAGGGCACTCATGGCCATCGTCACACCTATTTTTTCTTTTGTTCTTCTTCTTATGTCACGCCATCTTCTCTTAATTGCATCGGTTGTTCTTTTTGATTTACCCACAGCATTTACCTTCTCCCATATCACATTTCTTTGAGTCATGTATATTCATATTTCTTTGCTGTTGCTCAACAACATGTGTGTTTGCCTCTTACACTAACACGTAATTCCATGGCATTACACTTTGCTTTGCGTTTGCAGTCACTCTTCTCTCCATAATACTCCATGGCGGAAACCAGTAACGCAAAACACTCATTTCAATACTACTGCCTCTACCATGTTTTCTGTTATCAGTTGTGCAATTGTTTTTAGTAAATCACCCACAAAATGCCCACCAACCAAACAGGCAATCTGTTATAATGCACATGCAATTTAGCACTCTTTATTTGGGATCTTAGTAGATCAGGCCCTTAGTCGGACTGAGTCTGTGGTGAAGCCCACATCCTCACGTCATCACAATCTGATAATTTACTAAACTGCTTCTTAAAGAATAGCCTTTATTCTGCAGGGCTGAGTCACATAACTGCCTTTTGGTTCTATTAGTTTTTCTTTGCATCCATAATAGTAACATGGTCAATTTCATGAATTGTTAATCAAACCTTTTCAGTGTAATACAATATTTTCAACAATGCATTGCAGTGAGCTGAGGATGTTGATCTTGGCACAGCACTTAGCCAGTGCCCAGTACACAGTCACCAGCAAAAATACATCAAAATATTCTCTGTGCTACGTTTACAGGGCAAGGAAAAAATGAAGACAAAGTCAGTGACTGACCTGCAAATCAGTTTTCTTTCTAACTGGCCAACTGCCCCAAATCTCCAAGTATTAGTCCACTATTTGTGCACACAGAATTTAAATTCTTGTTAAATCTGCCACGGAATGGTCTCTCCCAGTGGTCTCATTTCTCTATGCGACAAACATAGGGAGGCGGGATGCATATAGTGGTTAGTCCGTCCATCCAAACATGGATCAGAGAAGGATTATTTTTAGTTTGTTTTTTTATATTCAAAAGTTTCAGAAAGTTATTTTACTGTAATGTTTACTGCATTTAAAAGTAGTTTTATGCAGTAGTAGTATTCAGCCTTTTTGTTGTTGAAAAGTTAGGAAAATGAGTGACATTGCATCAGAATCTAGATGCTTACACTAGGACTTTTATCATTATATCGGTTATACGTCATGGTCCAAATAGGACAGCGTCAAGACATTTAAACATCTCACGAGTCTCGGGTTAATTTTGATTATTAATAATTGGTAAATTTAACAATCTCCTCTTTGCTCCCTCTTTGCAGCTACTCAGTGAGAAGATCAGTGGGGCAGAGGGGACTAAACTGGATGATGACTTCATGGAGATGGAAAGGGTGAGTTTGCTGTGACAGATGTGTAATTTTACACTTGGTAGATACTTGGTATCCTGTGTTGAAAACATGTAACTGCAGAACTAACTGATGGAAGTAGACTGGAGTGATGGAAATGGAGTTTTGCAATGTTTGCTGCCTTGTTGCTCTACACATATATGACACACACAAACACACACACAATCTCTCTAAATATCTTTCAGAATGACAAAATATCTGCAATATTAATATATTATACACTTTTATCGTCTTCATCTCTATAGAAAATCGAGGTGACCAACAAGTCAGTGTTTGACCTCTTGTCCAAAACAACAGAGTACCTCCAGCCTAACCCAGGTAAAACAAAAGAAAAAACAATGATGAACCATTTGTATTATTTTGTTGAATAAATAAATCATTTTCAGGTTTTTTTAACAACTTTACTTTATTTTGCAAAAGAAAGCCAATAATCGGATGTGGAATATTCATGTTTTTTCTCTTTAGCCTCTCGAGCCAAACTAAACATGCTGACAACAGTGTCTAAGATCCGCGGGCAGGTGAAGACTACCGGCTACCCTCAGATTGAAGGTCTGCTGGGAGACTGCATGCTACGCTATGGTCATGAACTGGGAGAGGACTCTGTTTTTGGTACGAATTCTTATGTTTCAGAATTTCTTAAGCACAACAGCGTCATACATAAATCATCTTCATTCAACTTAGTTTTACTCCATATTTTCCCCTGGCCACCACCCCCAATGTAGTGACTCTATGCTATCATCAGAGAGGAAAACCATCAACAACTGTGCAGTATATCCTGTTATGTTCAGCTGTGGTTTATAAATAATCTTAATTTTTTTATTGTGGATGTTTTGGTTGTAGAAGTGAGATCATGGAAATCACCTTATGACATAAAGGCAACTTGGAATTTAAAGCCTAAGTGATTAAAGAGGCAATTGAGATATTTCTATCGTGTAAACTGTTAACCTAGAATTTCCTTTTTGTAGGATAAACAGCCTGTTGTGCGTGACTTCAGATGATTTGTGTGTCACATTTCCCTGCTACAAATACTAAAGGCTAACAGAAACATTGTGTCTTTCTGTCCTGTAGGTTGTGCTCTGGTGGACATGGGTGAGGCCATGAGACAGATGGCAGATGTGAAGGACTCCCTGGACATAAACGTCAAACAAAACTTTATTGACCCCTTGCAGAATCTACAGGACAAGGACCTCAAAGAGATCACGGTACACTTTCATATACAGTAAATGAAATGTGTACCGTAATGCTGACAGTGTTTGCAACACAGGGGAAGTTTGACCACATTTCAGGTTTTGCAGACGCTTCTGCAGCGCATTTGCAATGCTGTTTGAAATCTGCCATTGAAACGGTGTCAACATTCATCTCCTTTATGCCACTTTTATTACATGTCGAGTGGTTTTAGGGTGTTGCAGAATCTGTGTTTTATTATTCACTTCATCCAAATATTAACACCATACCATAAACTGCATTCTAAACCTCACTTAGGTAAAAGTACAGAAAAATCAACCAACTGCACTTAGATTTATTTTAAAGGTACAGTGTGTAGAATTGTGTGATATCTAGTGTGGACGTTGCATGTTGCAACTGAACACCCCTCACCTCACCCTCCCCTTCCGAACATGAAAAAGAACCTGTGGTAGACTTTAATTGTCATAAAACTCAAAAGGTGTTTAGTTTGTAAAAAACATGGCAGCCTCCGTAGAGAGGGCCCCCTTTATGTAAATATAAAGTATTTAAATATAAAGGACATTTTCTGGGGTAAAGAAAACTACAATTCATACAATTTAGATGAAATGAACTAGTGAAAACATCATGAGGATTATTCTACATTAAATATCTGCCAATAGATCCCTTTCACCTAAATCTTACACACTGGACCTTTAAGTCACTTCATAAACAGCTGGATAGTTTGGTCTATAAGGACCTTGCTTTAACTACTTTTCTATTTACGAACGCATCAGGTAAAGTTATACTTCTTACCTGCATCACTAAGGATCATCCACCTTTCCAACTTTTTCTCCCTGGTATCTGATACCTCTCAATCTGTCAAACTGTGTTGAACTCACTGTAGGACATTTAATGGAGTCTAGCTGTTGTTTTTTTGCATTAAAATCTTGGTTAACTGCTCACTTGGACTGCATTAATAATAATGTATTGCCAATGACAATATCAAACAAACTGGCCCATATCCAATCTGCTGCAGTAGAATTATCAGTGCCATCAATTCAATTCAGTTTTATTTGTACAGCGCCAAATCATATGTTTTAGTGTGTATGTCTTAAAGCACTACATAGTAAAGTTGAGACCTTACAATATTGATTCAGCATACCAGACCTTACTAGTTACCAAATAATGTTGCATTACTACATACATATACAGTCTTATGATAATCCTTTTCCAGCGCTTCAAAACCAATCAATGATAATAGCAGTAGTTGTTTAACAATAGTAGTTAATATACATGGTTATCATAGTTCTAATAGTTAACAGATAATAGTAGTTGCTGCTAAAATTTGCTGTCCTAAAATGCTTCTGCTTTCACACTAAACTAAGGGAAACCGCTGCGCAGTCCATGTAGAAATGTCTGGATCAAGAGTCTGTGTGTGATTGTTTGAACTGCAGAACTGTTTGGTCTATAACTTTCACAGCACAATTTGTCTGAACTGAGCCAAAGAAGTCAGGTGTTCATACTGTGCTTGAGTTCATCAGTCATAGCCTTGAAATAACATTCCTTTGGTGCAGTTTGGACACAATTCATAGGAAACTGCATGTTGTGTGATGAAATGCATACAATGTTTTACACAATATCACATTGAGGCAAAAAAGAAGGAGTAAGAGTACATGTTTCAGAAAGTATACACTTCAAAACAAATGAGATGCTACAACACACCCTGCTTGTGCAGGATGTGGGGGTTGATGTCAGTCTGTAGATACATGCCAGTTAGGATGTAGAGATCATAATTTATTGTTGTTGTTTGTGTCCACAGCACCACCTGAAGAAGCTGGAGGGCCGCCGGTTAGACTTTGACTATAAGAAGAAGCGTCGGGGGAAAATCCCGGATGAGGAGATCCGACAGGCTGTGGAGAAGTTTGATGAGAGCAAAGAGCTGGCTGAGAGGAGCATGTTCAACTTCCTGGAGAATGATGTAAGAGGACCACTACATGAAGAATGGACCAACAGGTTTAAGTAAAGGACAAGTGTTGAATGTCAACCTCATACAAATGATGTGACATGATTGAGAGGATTTCAACATCCGGCACAGCAGCAGGCAGAATCAAATAAAACTCTTTAACGTGAAGATTTCATATATTAATACATTGATTGTTTAAGCCATGCTGTTTATTAGATATGATATCATATTTTTTTTATAAAAAATACAAAAATACAAATTTGCCTGTAAACAAAACCAACACATGATACATGTTGTTTTCCTTTCTTTTTTTGTTTAATATTTTAAACTACGAGGAGAGCCCTGCTTTGAAGCTTCCAACACAGCAGTGTAAGAACAGCGGGGAGTGGTTTCTCATGCTCAACTTGATTCTGAAATACTTGATAAATATGGGTCCGAATTATCTGACATTATTCCCAGTTACAAAGGTTGACGGATTTCCTAATTGGGTTGGTTTCCGCTGCAGCCAAACTTTCTCATCGGATTTGTCCACTTTACAACTATGGTGTATATTGTCAGAAGTAGATATGTAGAAAATGTGAAGTTTGATTCATGCTTAGTGAACAGACAGTCACAGATGTGTTTTTAATGGATGTTAATGTGTGTTTTGGTTGTGCTCATGCATTGCGGCCATGGCCAATAGGTGGAGCAGGTGAGCCAGCTGTCAGCACTGTTCGAGGCGGCCTTAGAGTACCACCGGCAGTCATGTGAAATCCTGGAGGAGCTGAGTGGAAAGCTGCAGAAGCGGTAAGTAGGTAATGTGTTGTGTTGAAGGACACACTTAACTGTGCTGCCACTAATGACTCTGTGACGGAACTGTCATCAAACTCTGCGGCTGCAAAAAGTTTATTTCACTCAGCGTTGTTGTGACATGAATGCCAATGGTGACAGCAGGTGTATGAGCAGAACTACTACAAACCAATATGCTTAAATGAATGTGTTACAAGGTGTGACGGAGCAGCTCCATCACTGACCGACAACGGACCACACACACACGTACACGCCGACAATCATTCTCACGCTTCCTGTTTCAGTGCCTAGGTTATTGCTATTTACCCATCATTTACTCTGTTTAGCCGACTCAGGGTGCACACTCATCAGCTCTGTATTTGGTTACACACACACATATGCAGACACACATATACTGACTTACCAGCTTTCTAGGGATGCTGCTCGTTTGTCTAACTGTCGGTGCAGGAAGTTCGAGGGATTAAACAGGGGCATAACGTTCCTGTCCGTTTAAATTGATACCGGTTGTCCTTTTTTTATTAGTTAGAGTTGTACTATTTATAGTACATTCTTTTTTGCTAAAGTCATTTGATATGTTTAAAGGGGATATTTTGTGACATATAAAGAAGTCATTGTAACCACTTATTTTTGTTTCCATGCACTGGTTTTGGCCCATAATAGTGTTTAAATTGGCAATGAAGCCCAGTGGGAGGGGCTGAATGTACAGAAGTGCAGCTTCAAGCCCTTGCTCTCTGAGCCTGGTTAAAGAGGAGATAGCTCATGTGGGAGTTAGGGAGGCAGTTTTCCTGTGTTTTTTAATTTCAGATTATTTGTTTTTATATTCTTGTAAATGTGTCCATGTGCACCTTGGGAGGGAGTTTTTAAGAGAGCCCCTCCTCACAAGGTTTATGGCACCATCTCTCAAGCTGCCACTCACACATTATAAAAATATAAAGGACCCACACTGACTCTGCTGTGGTTTCTTTGTATCAATGTGTGGGACTGACCTGTGAGCAGCTATGACCAGCGCCTGGTATTGCTGCCAACCCAAATGATACTCAACTCCTTATTTTATTTTTTTTAACAAAAACCTTTTTGTTTATTCTATTTATTTTAACATATAGTTACACACATTTCTTAACACACTGTTTACTTAAATTCTCTTTAATATTCTATGAATACTTCTGTCATTTAAACTCAATCATTACCAAGCATAACACACTTTGCTAGACTCTGCTTCATGTACACCTACGAATTTTACAAAAAGAATCCACATTTAGATCCATTTTCATATAGTTCATTCTCTAGTAACTCAAGAATGTGTTCATGATGATGAGGCAGAATATTTAAAAAGCATCATGACAGTATATTGAAAGAAATTCCCTCCAGCAGGACAACATGCAGCTTTCAGCCATAACAAGCATTTTAATGATGTGAAAATAGCGATTGAAGATTAAGAATGTGAAGATGTTTGTCTTAATTGTTATAGCTTAGTAACCAGTTTGGCTGCCGCTGAAGTGAAGAGACTCCACACACAGCTCAAGATTTTCCCATTCCGATCAGCTTCATTCAGAAGCAGTGCTCTCTTTGCAATGGCACATTTATGTTTATTGAAACAGATGACAAGAATCATAATGTACTAAATTAAGTCATTTCAACTTGATGTATGAATTCAAAGTACGCTTGTTTCCTGTCACTCTGTTAAGTGTGGTTCAGATGTAGAGCTTCAACATTTACTTTTAATGCGTCTTTTCATTGGAAAATGTATCTACTGCCCTGAAAGAGCATACAATCAAATATATGTTGTATGTTGCAAATAAACCTTTCACTTCATCTTTTGTTTTAGGAAACTCATATTGACATACGGTACTTAGATGTCAGTAACCCGGCAGTAGTTTATAACGAAGTCTGATTAGGTTCACAAGTACTGAAACTGTGCTTCAGGACAGAGAATCAGTCTGAGTGTTACTCATTCAGTTCAGGCCTGGTTGTCATGTCCCAGTCTCTCAGGAAAGCACTTTGGCAGAGTTCCGTATGGGAGAGAGTAAAAAGTCTGATGACAGTCGTCAACGTGACTGATCGTGATGAATAATAAAAGTATGGGTGGACTGCTCTGTTATGGAGAGACAGTCATCAGTCTGTGTTTCATGAGCAAGCTGCCAAGTCATTTCTTGGACCAAAATTATTTTCAATGTTCAATGCTGACACTTACATGTTGCATTGATTTCATCCATTGATTCATTGACACCTGAACATGTTAGTTAGTGCTTTTAATATGTTATGTTTAATGGTGAGAACCTAGAGTTGGTTTCAATAAATAATTAAATCAAATTGTATTTGTATAGCCCATATTAACAAATCACAATTTGTCTTATAGGGCTTAACAAGGTGTGACATCCTTAACCCTCAACAAGAGTAAGGAAAAAGTAACAGAAAAACCCTATCCTAACAGGGGAAAATGTAGAAACCTCAGAGAGAGCCACATGTGAGGGATCCTTCTCCCAGGATGGACAGAAGTAATGCCGAAGTGTAACTGAGAATATCAGCAAATTAACAGTATTCACAACATTGATTGGAAGAAACTGTTTTTATCATAATTAATTAAATTATAATTACGTAAGAAAATGTCTGATAGAGATGAAGGGAGCAGCAATGAAAAATGAACTGAGGAGTTATTGTGAGAGTATGTGAGAAGGCGCATTGTGTGCCAAGCAGTCTTGTTGTAATCATAGTCCACGATCAGCTGCCACCACCATCACGATCAACAATCCGCCATCATGATCTATGGTCCATGATCACATTCCATGATCTGCAGTACATCATGATCCACAATGTGGCCGCAGCTGCAGTCCTGAAACTGCAACCGATTGGCCGTTGAAACAGACTGAACAAACATACAATATAATATTACCTCTTGCAACACATTTTAAACATAATTGTATTATTTTAGCTTTCATGATTATTTCCCTACATCACTGTTATGGTTGTTCAATATGCTGCTCGCTTACGCTGAATTGTTTTTCTTATACAATGCTTTGGGCTATAAAAAATAATGATCTTACAATGGGCTTATAAAGTAGAAAAAGATCCATCATAAGATAAACACATCAGATCTCACACCCCGACATTAGTTAGGTCCAGATGATCTTTCCGTCCTTCTGAGCGCATTCATGAACCTCTGGAAATTCTGGAGCCTCTTAAAAGAAAAACACAAGGCTGTGAAACAGTGAAGCATCACTTCATAGTCTTTGTTTTGCCCAAAGCTTATTTCTTTCACTCTGCTATCATGTCCCCATAGGATATCAACAGCCAGCTGCCGCCCCAAGAGAGAGTTCAAGCCAAAGTCGATAAGGAGCAACACCGACACTCTGGACAACAGTCAGCACAACGGCCTGTCCTACAGCTCCTCACTTAAATCCAGCGGTACAGCTGCCACATATCTGTCTCTGTTTTATTTTCTTTCTGTAATTCTGTCAGCACCATCCCCATTGTTTACTTTGTGTTCCACTGTGGACTTTTTTTTCTGTTGTCTCTTTCAGATATCCAGATCAACCACACAGTTAATGGGAAAAGTAGGTATTTTGTTATACAGTGTCAAGGTGTGATCCATCTCTTTCCTTTTCAGGGCTTTAACCTCTGGGCTCTTATGTTTCACCATTTGCTTCCTTTCAACTAGCATTGATAAATAATGGCTGGATCATATATCAACTCAACAACATATGCATTAATTGTGTTCTTCTTCACTCACCAAATGTAGATGAAAACATACACTCAACAATATTTTACCGTTGCAAACTGACAAATAACATCTCATTTGCTCCAATTTATAAAGCACCTTTCAAAACAGCAGTTACAAAGTGCTTCACATAGAGGACAAGTAAAAACGAGAATACAAAACATGTCATCAAAGACGGCAATTAATATATTACAATTTCTAAATCAAAGACGGTATTATACATCATTTTAAAGTAATGGCAAATGAAAGGGGTGAAAGAAACATAAGTAAAAACAACAGTTATGAGATTAAGTGATATGGTAAAAGTACATTTTGATGGACATTTAAAAAACAGACGGTCAATGGATTTGAAAGGGTTTGGGCCCTTACAGCAAAATCCCTGTCAACTTTGGTCAGGATTTTTTTTCTTGGCCATAGAAAAACATGAATGGGCTCATTTGCTCCTATGAGGTCCTGGTTGTGTAATGCTTTCTGTGACACTTCTTATTATGAGCAGAAACCTAGAACAAGAAGCCTATTTGACAAACCAAGGGTCTGTAGTTTTACCCTTAAAGCTCTGATGTCAGATGTATCTCTGAAAATTCCTTGGCTTACAGATTGTAAATTTGTCTTTGGTTTGTTGTTGACCTTCATGTACCTGCTTCTTCTGTACACGTAATCTGGTGAAAAATGAATTTACATCCACTGAGAGTCCATGGCAGCATTTGTAAAATGTTGTTGCCCTCCGTTGGTAATAGTCAGATGGAACCCCTGCACTGTAGTTTATAAGGAATGATTTCTTCATCCTACTCTGAGTTTGTTTTGTGTTGTCACATGCTCAACACCATCTCCATTTGTCTTTACATCTCGCCCAGTTGATCATATATCCACTGTACCACTGTCATGGCCTGAGAGCCCCACTACCAATGGCAATCTGCACCGTGAGTAGTACACACTGCCTCAGCACTGACACGTGTGTATCAGTCAGCAACATGAGTCAGCAGAAAGTTACCCAGCAGCACTTCTAATAATCGATTAGTCTCAGCTGGTTCAAAGGTTTGTGAGTTTTCGGCTGTCAATCTGATCAAACAAGCAATGTTGAAACTCCACTTTGACTTTTCCAACCACATGTCAAGGCTGTCATCAGTGGATTCATTTGCATAGTTGTCATGGTGATGACTTATTAATTCTGTCCATCATTACACAGAGTTTGCTCTTTTTTTGTCTAAGCAATTAAAAGACATCTTATCAGACACATTTATTGAGACTAGTCATTAGATTATATATTAGATTATATTAGATTATATATATATAATATCAATAGATATATCAATAGTGAAAGACATCATTATTTGCTGCCTGTTAAACACTTACATTCTAAGAAAGACGTTTTTATTATCGTTACGCACGAGTGAAATAGTTGTTGAATAATATTATCTTCTTCCTTTGTTTGGGTGCAGAGTCGGAGGTGCTTGACCAGCCGTGCTGTCGCTCCCTCTATGACTTTGAGCCAGAGAATGAGGGCGAGCTTGGCTTCAAAGAGGGTGACATCATCATCCTCACCAACCAGATAGACGAGAACTGGTATGAGGGCATGATCAATGGAGAATCTGGCTTCTTTCCCATCAACTACGTAGAGGTCATCGTCTCCCTCCCTCAGTGAAGCCCCCGAGTCCTTTAAAGACACCGTCTTGCCTCATCACGTTCGGTCTCGGTTCTCAGCTCGACTCTGACCTGAAAATGGACAGAGCAGGATCAAACTGAAGCTGAAGGGAATATTTTGTCTTCTGATTTTCATTCTGAGCTGGAGAGCTAGTAGGTCTGTCCCACGCCAACATAAGATCAGATGGCGTTAATTATTTTTTAATGTTAATATTCATGAAACTGAAACCAAGTGAAATCCAAGCCATTAAGTGCGACACTCTGCCTGGTGAGATCTGTTGTGTCCTTCAGGTCTGACTAAGGTCAAGATGTCAAGCTGTCTTCAGACCCTGCCGTCCATCCCATAAGTCCCTCAGGTGAGAGAAGTTTATCTCACTGGGCTGTCTGCCTGCCTCTGCCGCCTTCACTTTACCTTTGCTTAAGTTGCACCAGTGGACAACATGACTTTATCATTTCACCACTACATCAAAGGCTTTTATTTGTTGGATATTATATTCCCATTAGGAACATCATATACATTCCAGGATTTGAATCCCATTTAATTTATCCAATTTTAGAGGGTTGTGTTTGCATGACAAATCCACTCATAGTGACAGTTTGAAGTGTCATGGACACACACAGCTATCATCCTCTAAGTCCAGTTTTAGACCAATGATTGGAAGGACTGATAGATCACATCTGTTTGATCATCACAAATACCCAATTCATTCAGACACGCAGATTGTTTTATCTGTCTACATCTTGATATAGTTTTGTTTCTGATGTATGCCTTCTGCCACATACAATAGAGGACAATGAATATCACAATTAAAAGAAATTAAGAAGATATGATTTGAGTTAAAGTGGGTGAACAAGGCCCATTAAACAGAGTATGCAAGTTGAATGCTGCCCTGTATGTAAAATACAAATAAATATATTATATATATATATATATATATATATATACACACACATTGCTGCCCAATGGCTGCCAGAGTCCCACATTTCACTGATCTTGTTTTGTATTTTGAGAAGCATCTTATGTCCTGTGTTATTGTCCACACACAAGCCTCCTGTTCATGATGCCTTGTGAGCACTTGGCAGACACAGGGCTGAGTTACCTGTTCTCATGAAGCTAGTTAGTGAGATCTGGAATGCGTTAACACTGCTTTAAATCAGTCCGATGATCAAATAGGTTTTAAATCTCCAATCAATATTTTTATATCAACAATTGGTCAAATGACTACTCATGACCCCACAAAGAGTTATCACTATCACTTGCAGTTCCCTTCAGCTCTATGACATTTTAAAGCATCGTCTAATTCCTTAATAACATAACGTGTCTGATCTGTGTGACGTTCAGAAAGATTTGGAGTTCTCTTCCCAAGTAGCCAAACATTTTAAGAAGAGAAAATGAAGGATCAGGTCAAATAATGACCCATACTGTCAGTTGTAACTATATATTACACTATGAACAAACCTCTTGTTTAAGTTTGACTTACTTTATTTGACGTAGCCGTGCACAGAGCCCCTGTGCAGTTTTGGGAGTGTGAACTTTTAATTTTACCTCCAAATAATCTGTATCTTGTTTACGGCCCGCCACTAAGTGGCAGCGATGTGTCCATGCTCCCAGATGTGAGTAGCTACAAAGTTGTCAGTTTAACAGAGAGAAAAGACCAAAAATCATGAATATAACACCCACATAGTTCTGAACCCACATTATCCTGTAAATTGTGGATTTAAAACTGCATTTGATATGTGCTGTCTTTAGTTGGCTCTTTCTTTACACTCTAACACTCCATTGCTATTTATTTGAGAATGTATTTTATTGTTCTGTGAACATTTTTCACTAATCACCTCACACTCCAGCAGAATGATGGATGTATCTTAGTTCTCTGTGCTCAGGTCGGCTTATCATGTGTTGTAACTCTGTACATCTCTGTCTTCTCTCCTCATCTGACTGTCTGTTCGCCATCTGTGCTCTTATTTTTACAACTGAGAGGAACTCTCTCTCTCTCTCTCT